TGTCTCGCTCCATAGCCCAGCCTAGATGCACGTTTCCGCGCTTGCACGTCGTGTTTTTGAAAAACTGTTCATTTACTTTTTATTTTCCTGTGGGAGTACCCTTAAAACCGGCCGAATTAATTTAATACTCAAGTTACTTGAACGGATTACTTAATTATACTCGCTAGTAATGTCTCTGCATGAGTTTGTGGGCGTTGTTGGTAATGCGCAAGAACGCCACAAAATGCCACAACTATGTTGTGTCTGTATTTCTATGAGACAACCTGTGGGCTGGTAGCGACAAGGTTTAAAAAACGTTATACCTTGTAAGTAGAATCAACGGATATTTTTCCCCCGAAGCTCCCCATGTAAGTAACCTACAAGCTTGACTCCCGTGCATTTGCAACAGTTAACAAATTTCGCGAAGCATTTTTCACATTGCGCACTGCCTCGAATGATTCGGAAACCGCCGCTGATGTATCAAGCAAAAGAAACGCACCGTGAACGATAACCGTCTCCGGCAAAACTAAAGCAGGGGAAAGTAATGGAGGTAACGTCGGGTTTTTGATACATTGTATTTCGTAGAAAAGCAGAAAATTTTGTAAATGGATGTTTAACAGTCTACTGATAAAATTCACTTTCTTTATGCGTAGAACTAGGATGGGTGTAGAAGATAGATACTCAATGGAAAATGTAAAAACTATGCTTATTTGTTGGAAGAAGGAATAGAGTACGCAGTATACTATGGCCAGCCACTTGTTAATGTTTGACAAAGTTTTTTTTTCTAAATAGGACTGGTTATCATTTTACTAATAGCTACTAGCCAACAACTGAAATAGGTTATGTCAATCGCCAAAGTTAATGCGGGAGTACTGCTTTTAAATGAAGGGAATAATTTCAGAAATTATTAAGTGCATGACACGAAGTGACCGGAACGTGACATTTTGGGGTCAAGTCCAAGGTTTAAATGAACATTTGAGTCGAAGACAATCAACTACTATTGGATAATCACGTAATGCCCATTCAAACGAATAGTACCTGTGTCGGGAGTACGGTACAACGTCTTTGCTATACGACCTTTTGTCTGTTCTTATGGCGATGGTGGAGACCGTTGAGTTCTAATGCCTCTTTGGGATGCTCATGGAAACCAGGCGCGGGTCGTAACAACTACAAACACATTTACACACAAGTCACGGTTGCATGCCTCTTGTAAAACAGCGGTTAACCTCATCACTTATCATTTCCTTCTTTGGAATACCTCTTTAATCACCTCTGATCCGACAGCGTCTTTTTTTTAATGAGAAAACAACCGAAGCCGACTGTTGGCGAGGTTGTCTTGCCTATCTTGAATTGCTGCCTTTTACTTTCGCACACTAATTCCCACCTGCTCTGGCGCTGTTTGCTTTAGACTTCTGCGGCTGTCAGATGATGACATTGTAGCACTTCATTTGGAGGGCTTCAAAACGGACGAGCAGACGGTGTACTGTGCCATTCTCACACCCTCGAC